AAATAAATCCTACCAAGCAAAAATAAGAGTGAAAGATAAAAGTCCAAAATAAAGTCCAAATTCAAATATCATAAACCACACACATATCCCTCTTGTGTAATATAGGTGATTAAAAAAAAAAAAAGTCTAAATTTTTGAGCCTCCCAACAGCTTCCACGACCAGTGTTACCTTAAAAGGTAAAGAAATAACACATAGTGCATTATCCTTTACTATAATAATCTTAACAACAGTATGTGAATTCACTCTAGTGTGTCGCACACAAGTGACCCTTTAGTGAAAAAAAACGTATGTGAAACAAAAACGTGTATGTGAATCACTCTTTAGTGCCAAAAATCAAGCAAAACGTGTACACTTCTAATTCAAGTAAGGAGTGAATACCCTTACCAATAAATCAATATCTCGCCTTATTGCCATCCAGCTACACAACGATAAAAACATAGCCCTCCTGAAGAGATCCTCAAGGATTACCACACTCCCACGATGACACCTGGGTCCATCAACAATAGTATTCCATGTACCTCCTCACACCATGCGCCATCAAGATGCCCATATATGAGGAATAGATAGTGTAATACCACCAAAAACACCATAAAATCGCTTTAATTGAAATGCTCTCATTAACAGCCTTTAAAAACTGCCTTAAAATAGGTTTTTCAAACCTTTCTGCCATCCAGGAAATGTCCAGGCCATTTCAGATGCTCTTTTCCACTTTCCAAAATGGCCACTGCTTCACTTCCGGTTCCTGTGTGCATCTGACGTCACTTCCCTTGACGCATTTCATCATCAGACTTAGCTTCCTGCACAGATTTAACATCAGTTCCTAAAACATAAACAGAAGCAGACCCTTCATCCTCAGTACTGGATAGGTCAGACACAAGATCCTCCTCTGGTCTAGTGCCGCAGCAGTGTACTCAATATCCATATAGTGGTTGACCTTCAGCAGAAGCTTTTTTTTGTGCCTAGCCTCTTACTCCTGCAGGTGGCACCAGAACAAGAGATCTAGAGAGAAATTCCACATCATACTTAATGTGCCCAAAGTATTTTGGCAAATGTTTAACCACTTGCCCTCCTGAGGATTTACCCCCCCCCCCCCAACCAGGCCAATTTGTTGTGTTGTGGTGCTGCATTATTTTAACTGACAATTACACAGTCATTCAATGCTGCATCAAAATTAAATTTACATCTTTTTCCCCCCATGAATTGATCTTTGGGTGGTATTTGATAGACTGTGCGGTCTTTATTTTATGCGCTAAAAAAAAAAAAAAAAAAAACACACGACAATTTAATATTTTTGACTTTCTGCAATTTAAACATGTCCAGTAAAAAAAAATTAAAAACCCCACCACCACATTTAGGCCAAAATGTACATGTCTTTGCTGAAAAAAAAAAATTCAATACATGTACATTAATTGGTTTGCATGAAAGCTATAGCATTTACAAATGGCAGTATAGACACTGGAATTTTTTTCCCCCCCTACTAGTAATGGCAGTGATCAGCGACATAGTGGGACTGCACTGGGGGGGAACTGTCACCGACCTCCCCAGTGACACTGTACCAATGGCACTGGGCATAAAGGGGGTTAACATGAGGGGCGATCAAAGGGTTAACTGTGTGCCTGAAATGTTGTATTGGGGGGGGGGGGGGGGGTGCTTCACTGCAAGCACACTACTCTGGAGCATCCAGAGCAGTATGCCCAAGCTGAGAGGACAACTGTCAGTAAACAAAGCAGTCCTCCTCCCTGTAGATGCTCGGTAATCACTGGCTGGGACCTGGTGATTGACAGCCGCAAATTGCGGCGCAGGTAGGGCTCTCGTGTGCCCCCTACCAAGAAATACAAAATCACATACACACACGATTTTGTACACCCCTACTGCCCTGTAGCCATATATCTGATATATAGAGCAGTCGGTATGTAATTAAAACTGCACACACGACCTACTTTTCTGTTCTGATAACTATGCAAAAAAATTGTAACTTATGTTTGTAAAACTTCTATTACATATGCGTGCAGATTTTGCCTAGGATTCCTGTTTTGAACCCATATTGTTAGATGCATTCTGTGTACAGTGGATGTGCATGGCTTTTACTTTTATGTACAGCAGGTAGTTTTCTTTTTATAGAATATTGACATTTTGCAACAAGGATAAAAAACTAGTAGCAGGTGCAATATTCAAAGCCAACAGCGCAAAAAAAAAAAAAAAAAAAAAAAAAAAAAAAAAAACCCCACGCATCTTTCAATTGATTTAACCAAACAGAATATTACCTCAATTTATGTAGACAATTAGAACATTCCAATCATAGGAGATGGGAGAGTTTAGCTAGCTTTTGCTATCTTTTCTGTTAAATTAGCAGAATTTTTAAAAAGTGTGACAAATGCGCAGTACAAATCAATTTAGAGCAGGTCAATCATGTGAAATTCAAAACCTCAATATTAGAAAAATTGTAATTTATAGGATTAGAAAGGGGTTGAGCACAAAAAGGAAATGGTGCACAATTCAAAGCAAAATTGAGTATCCAGGTTCTAAACCAAAAAGGAAAGTACCAGACATGTTGAAAAAGCATGTGCCTTGTATAGATTAAAAAAAAAAATTATATATACACACCCACACAAATATATATTTATTATACACCCACAAAATGAAAGGAACACTTTTTAATCAGAGTATAGCATCGAGTCAATTAAACTCCTGGGATATTGATCTGGTCAGTTCACAGAGGGGGTTGTTAATCAGTTTCAGCTGCTTTGGTGTTAAAATGAACAGGTGTACTAGATTGGCAACAGCGAGATAATCCCCAAAGCAGGAATGGTTTTACAGGTGGAGGCCACTGACTTTTTTTCTACTCTTTTCACTAGTTTTGAATTTGGCTAGGGTCAGTGTCACTACTGGTAGCATAAAGGCAACACCTGGATCATACAGAGATTGCACAGGCAGTCCAACTCCTCCAGGATGGCACATCAATACGCACCATTGCCAGAAGGTTTGCTATGTCTCCTAGAACAGTATCAAGAGCATGGAGGAGATTCCAGGAGACAGGCAGTTACTCTAGGAGAGTAAGACAGCGCTGTAGAAGGTCCTTACCCATCACTAGGACCAGTAGCCACTCCTTTGTGCAAGGAGGAACAGGATGAGCACTGCCAGAGTCCTACATAATGACCTCCAGCAGGCCCCTGGTGTGAATGTCTGACCAAACAATCAGAAACAGACTTCATGAGAGTGGCCCGACATCCTCTAGTGGGCCCTGTGCTCACTTCCTGGCACCATAGCGCTCGATTGGCATTTGCCATTGAACACCAGAATTGGCAGGTCCCCCACTGGCACCCTGTGCTTTTCACAGATGAGTTGGTTCACCCTGAGCACATTTGAAAGGGTCTGGAGAAGCTGTGGAGAACATTATGCTGCCAGTAACCTCATTTAGCATGACCATTTTGGTGATGGGTCAATGATTGTCTGGGGAGGCATATCCATGGAGGGATGCACAGACCTCTGCAGGCTAGACAATGGCATCCTGACTGCCATTAGGTATCAGAATGAAATCCTTGGACCCATTGTCAGACCCTACCCTGGTGCAGTGGGTCCTGGGTGCCTCCTAATCCATGACAACGCTCAGCCTCATGTAGTGAGAGTATGCAGGCAGTTCCTGGAGGATGAAGGAATACCATTGAATGGCCCCCACACTTGCCTGACCTAAATCCAATATAACACATCTGGGATATCATGTTTTGGTCCATCCAATACCGCCAGGTTGCACCTCAGACTGTCCAGGAGCTCAGGCAATGCGCTGATCCAGATCTGGGAGAATGTCCCCTAGGACACCAACTGTCCTCTCAATAGGTGCATGCCCCACATTGTCAGGCATGCATACAAGCATGTGTGGGCCATACAAATTACTGAGTAACATTTTGAGTTGCTGCCATGAAAGTTCAGCAAAAATGGACTAGCCTGCTGCATCATTTTTTCACTTTGATTTTCGGGGTGTCTTTGAATTCAGTCCTCCGTAGGCTGATAATTTTCATGAAAAACGATGGGGCATGCTTCCATTCCTCACTCCATATCAGTATAGATATCCTGCATGCTATTTTTCCCCAGAGAGATCTGATGTGTTAATTTTTTGAGAGATCACCCCCCCCCCCCCCAAAACAGGTATATTAAAAAAAAAACAAAAAGAAGGTAGGGGAAGGGGAGCAGCACAGGGCCAGTCACTAGTGTTGACAGAGACCTTCACAAGTTAGCACCAGTTTCCTGGCTGTGTTATATTGCATGATATTCCTGTGATATTACGATATTACATTACTCTCCAGGTTGGAGCACTGATTTTATCCTGTTAAAAGGAGCTTTTACATTGATGTAGTGTGATTTTTCCCACATCACAGTGCAGTGTACCCAAGGGTTTTGTGTGGGTTACCTGTGATTTGCCATAGGTTTCTTTTATATTAGACAGTTTTGGTACATTTTCTGAAAGTGCATGAGAAGTCCTGGACCTGGCAGGACCAAAAATGCTGTCACAAAACGTTCCTATAACCCCTACAATGCAGAAGGGGGTAACTACAGCAACACCTTTTAGGAAGAGGCTGTGTGAAAATTGAACAAAGGGTACTGACCCTTTTACACAAATATAGTTACATGTAAATCAATTATTTGTAGCACCCTTGACAAAAATCACTGATCATACATATATACCCCTACAAAAAAAAAAAAAAAAAAAAAACCAGATACATTAAATGTAATCACAGATCTTTTAATGCAGAGTTAAATATAAATTCTTAGGCACATATGATGTTCAGCTTGTTTTTAAATACATTTTTCCCCAGTACGGTCATATTTATCCTTGTTTTACTTTGTAGTGAGTCAAGAACTCAAAAAAGCATGCAGCCTTTGACGTGCCAGGACACCTTTGTAGGTCAGTGAGTAGCCCAGTAAGTAGGGGAGGGCAAGGATTGGGCCCAGATAAAAATCAAAAATATAGCTGCCAGGTTTGTTCTTTTCCATTAATGAAAATCTACACTTTGATAATGGCTTTCCCAATGTTCTCTCCCTTGAGCATTCCCATGAATGCTGCTGGCATGTTCTCAAATCCATTGGTGATGTGCTCATGATATTTCAATTTGCCCTGAAAAAAAAAAAGGAAGAAGGATCATCAATTTAAAAACAAACAGTACATGAACACTCAGGGTGTATTAATTTTTTTAACATTTGTGCATTCACTCTTCCTCTCATGACCAATGGACATTTAATTTTGGCCAAGGTGCCATAAAATACACTAGCAGATAATGATTAGAATGTATTCTGGCATAATGCATCCAGAAAGTTTTCAGTGCTTAACTTTAGCCACATTTTGTTGTTACAGCCTTATTTCAAAGTGGATCAATTAATTTTTTTCCCCTCATTCTACAAACAATACCCTAGAATAACAATGTGAAAAGTTAAATTGCAAAAGATATTTAAAAAAAAAAAAAAAAAAAAAAAAAGAAGTGTACCACAGTTAACAGTGCATGTCAGAGCACAAACCAAGCCATGAAGTCCAAGGAATTGTCTGTAGACCTCCAAGAAAAGATTGTATCAAAGCACAGATTTGGGAAAGTGTACAGAAAAATTTCGGCAGCATTGAAGGTCCCAATGAGTACAGTGGCCTCCATCATCCGTAAATGGAAGAAGTTTGGAAGCACCAGGAATCTTCTTAGAGTGGGCCGCCTGGCCAAAATGAGCAATCGAGGGAGAAGGGCCTTTGCCAGGGAGGTAACCAAGCACCTGATGGTCACTCTGAAAGCTTCAGCGTTTCTGTGGAGCGAGGCGAACCTTCCAGAAGAACCACCATCTCTGCAGCACTCCACCAGTCAGGCCTGTATGGTAGAGTGGCCAGACGGAAGCCACCCTGTAAAAAAAGGCAAAAAAAAATGGCAGTCCGCCTGGAGTTTGCCAAAAGGCACCTGAGGGACTCTCAGACCAGAGTTTTGTTTCTCGTGATCTGAAACAGATTGAACTCTTTAGCCTGAATGCCAAGTGTCATGTCTGGAGGAAACCAGGCACCGCTCACCAACTGGCCAATACCATCCCTACAGTGAAGCATGGTGGTGGCAGCATCATGCTGTGGGGAGGTTTTTCAGTGGCAAACCAGGGAGACTAGTCAGGATCGAAGGAAAGAGAAATGCAACAATGTACAGAGACATCCTTGATGTAAACCTGTTCCATAGTGCTCTGGACCTTAGAGTGGGGCAACGGTTCATCTTTCAACAGGACAACGACCCTAAGCATACAGCCCACAAAACAAAAAAAGGAGGGGCTATGGGCCAACTCTGAATGGTCTTGGAGTAGACCAGCCAGAGCCCAGACTTGAACCCAATTTAACATCTCTGGAGAGATCTGAAAATGGCTGTGCACCGACGCTCCCCATCCAATCTGATGGAGCTTGAGAGGTACTGCAAAGAAGAACGGGAGAAATTGCCCAAAAATAGGTGTGCCAAGCTTGTAGCATCATACTCAAAATTACATGAGGCTGTAATTGGTGCTAAAAATGACTTGAGGCTGTAATTGGTGCGTCAAAGTATTGAGAAAAGGCTGTGAATACTTCTGTACATGCGTTTAATAAAATTGCAAAGATTTCAAAAAACGAAAGTCTTCCACATTGTCATTCTGGGGTATTGTTTGGATTAAATTCATTTTTTTCCCCTCAACGTTCCACATTTTAGAATAAGGCTGTAACAAAAATGTGGCAAAAGTCAAGCGCGGTGAATACTTTCTGGATGCACTGTACATAGATTCTTTGACATATGGATTTTATACATTTAACCAATTTTTTGCTCATTTTAAAAATTTATTCATATCTTTACCCATTTTAGAGGTCTTTTTTTTGGGGCCCCTAAAGTTTATAGGAATTAACTTTAACACCAATTTGTGAGTACACATTTCTCATTTTAGAATTTATTTTTCTTTGTATAGTACATAGGAGGAATTTGCAATATCTGTAGTGCGATTTCATGTGGCCACGAACATGGCGCTGTAGTCTGCCAAAGTTAGTTGTCCATCAATCCCACCCACAAAATGGCCTTTGACATAGCCTGAGGAAGGAACATGCATGCCCCGTAACTGCTCACAGCATCAGTCTTCGGGAGTGTCACAGCCGCCTGATCTGTGTGCCCACACTGACCAGAAAGTCTTAGGATTCTCTGATGCACCATGACGATCTAATGGCTGTACTAAACAAGCGGATTGAGACCTCATGGGGACAGCAGTGCATTCCATGTTTGAAAAGCTCTTTGTATTCGCACAAGATTAAACAGTCTGAACCAAATTTTAGTAAATCTCCTACTCAGAATCCAGCGCATGGTAGCCAGCTTCTAACCTCGGCTTATTCAGTTAGGCTTTGGAAATGAAACCTGGAAGTGAATTGGTTTCTATGCTGAAGTGTGCCTGATTTTGCACTCTCCAGCTTTAGTAAAATAAACCTGTGTCCAATACTACAATCAGATCTGTTTCCTTCTCCCCTCTAAAAGCTGATAAACCTTTTAAGAGCTCATGGAACAAAGCGAGAATCTATTTGCTAAAATAAGCAGTGGCCGATTGAAAGTTGTAAAGACCTTCCAGATTTACCAGACAGACAAAAATTGAGGGAGATCCACTTGGGGTGAACACGAGGATAAAAAATATCCTTATGGCAAAAAAAAAAAAAAAAAAAAAAAAAAGCAGAGATCACTTTAGGCAAAAAGGTTTTTGGTTTCAAAATCAAATTGGGCCCTTACAGGACAGTGCTACTAACTCGGTGACCCTTGTCAAAAGTGATCGCTATAAGAAAGTCAACCTTACAGAACAAAGTCAAGCTAAGGTTCTGACTAGGTTCAAATGGGTACACATCAGTAAATTAGCAAGATGTTCAAAAATTTCACCATCAAGGGTCAGGTGTCTGCCCTGTCAGTTAAGGGCTAAATGTTAAAGCTACCCCCAACAGAAGGAAAGGACACAGCCCACTGAAAAGGCACGTGATAAAAAAAACACCAGTTAAAATAAGCAACTGTGATAGATATTGCAAGAATCATATTGATTGAACTTTAGGCAAGGGTAAAATAATTGAATCTGCAATGTCCCAGTCTCTCAGAATTTGGCTTTCAAAAACCAGGCAGTCAAAGCCAGGGAATGAGAAGATAGTCAGTATCCAGATCTAAACCTAGTAGCTCTTCCCTACTGTGTCCGTTTACCCCATATTGGCACTGAGTCCACAGTAGCATTTGCGTTGGCAGAGCAGGAGTAGGATTGGACAAAAGATTACTTTGACAGTTTTGGCCAGCTTAAACATGTATTGCAATGTGTGAACTATAAATTGGTATTTTTTTAGTGCAAATTGTGCTGGAAAAAGGAATCGCAGGGTGCAGAGGGTCCTTTCAGAATTTCTAGGGAGAAGAGGATAGGTCACTGGCCAACAGATCTGACCACAAACAGACAATGCTCTGAGGCCAATCTAGAGAAAAAAAAAAAAAAAAAAAAAAAAAAAAAAAAAAAAAAAGGAGGGAGCACACCCCACAACACACGCCTGAGTCGAGTCAAACATTTATAGCTGTTCTGTGCACATGTCCTGTGTTCTCAAAGTCTAGTTAGCCTTTACAGTTCTTGTCAGCCTAATGCAAGATTAGTTTCTGTTGTGAAAAATAGGAATGGGGAGAGAGACTTTGAGTAGTTTCACAAAAGAACTGGGCAGGACTGACACCAGTCTAAAATGCTGTGCATTATCAGTTCTCAGACTTAGGGGCTGTGTGCTTTAAGCAGATTGCAAGTACAGAAAAATATCGATTTAGAGTATTTAAAAAAAAAAAAAAAAAAAAAAAAAAAAAAAAGGGCTAATGTGCATATATTGTAGATTTACTGCAAGATGCATTTACTTTGCCCTGACATACTTAATATAAATGTAAAAATTTGTGGGGAGCTTTTTGTAGAGCAGACCTTCTGAAGTCAAATCACCTGCAAAAAGGGAAAAAAAAAAAAAAAAACCCAGTTCCAGGTGCACCCAAGCTAGTGTTGTCTAGTCCTTGGGTGCAATGCCCAGCTATAATACCTTGGTCATGTGTCCCAGCGGCAGGAAGCACCCAGATAGGGTGCCAGGTGGTCCGTCACATTTAGGGACAGCAGTGGGATGTGTAGTGAGATAGAAATGCTCAAGTTTGGAGTCATCAAGCCGTCCAGCAGCCCCTCAACTCTCCTGGGTGGTCCATGTACCAAAGCAGGATGGCACAACCCACTTCCGGTGGACTACTGCCGACTAAATGATTTTAACACCATGGCACGCTTGCCCTGGGTGGATGATCCGTTAGATTGTATTGCTCGGGGAACATTCGACAACCCTCAACCTATGGAAAGGGTACTGGCAAATGCCTCTGGATGTGAAATCTATTCCAAAGTCAGCATTCAACCCAATTGGCCAATACCAGTCTAAGGTAATGCCATTTGGAAAGAATACTCTGATGTTGTCCAGATACTGTATGCACAAGCATAGTCCTAGACACCATTGAAAAGTCTATCTACTATCTTCTGGAAAGTCACCAATCTACAGCAATGTGAGGGAATGAAGGAATGCCAGGACATTTGTCCCAGAGTATAAATCAAAAATATAAAGAGGATCCTCCTGTGCTTAAATGGAGCCCTAACCCTAAAGCTGTTAACACTAACCTTATACCTGATAAGTGTGACAATAAATACCACAGCGTAGCGCTAAAACAAAACTAGATAATGTCAACAATCAAATATATGTGATAAACAGATAAGTGCACAACAATCAATCCCACCTAAAATCCACACTTGAGGGATCCCAATAAAATACTATGTGCAACACGTGAATTCCCTCTCCTTGGGAACATAAACAGTGCAAACAGTGTTAAGTGTCATACAACACACAACAAATATGTGAACACTAATATCCAGAGCCAACAGCAAACAAAATCATGAATTAAAGTCCCAAAACAACACATATAATAGTGCTCCAACTCCACTCTCGCAAGTAGTGATGTGTAGGCGATATGCCCCCTCCCCTCCTTACATAGACCCCAAAGGGCCAGCTCGCTTTAGGGATCACACCAATCCCAAGGACAGACTCCTCACAGGCTTCCACTCAGTGAGTGATGGTATATGTTCTCCAATCCCAAGCCTCCACACAGCTACCAGAAAGCATCTCCCAGGATCATAGTGAAACAAAAAGATCCTCCATAGTGCAAACTGTTTAATCCAGCATAAATAAAAATGCCCACTCACATTGTATGCTTTACATATCCGCTTTTCTACCACATGCTAAGGGTCTACTGCATGGGTATCTGGAAAGGTGTTCCAATATGGCCCCCACATTACCGGAAGTTCCTCCCCGCGTACTGACCTGTTGATTCCCTGAGGAAGTCACGTGCTAAGCGTGACGCAACACGTCGGTACGCGGGGAGGAACTTCCGGCATGTGTGGAGGTTCAACTATCCCTTCCTTTTTATACAGGCTCCTGTCCCTAGGTTATTTTCTATGGATTCTGTAGTTCAATTTCAGCTCAACCGTTGGGAAATTCTGCTTTCAACATAATTCCCAGAAGTCTCTGTGCACCTGTAATAAGGCTGTGTCAAAGTGCTGAACACTGCCATCTTGTGGATAAATACAAATCTGCATCCCATTACAATGCACAGTGTTACATGTGCATTTTTAACTGCTCATTCTTTAATGACTCTACAGAGCACCTATACCTGCCAAAATCCATCACTGACAGCACCACACACTACTTTGGTTCCTAAACTTCTGATAATGAAAGGTCTAGAACTGGTTTGCAAAAAATTAGGTTTCCCACCAAGCTGTCTGTATTTTAAACCACTGCTATCAAATTATAGCAACTGGATGTGTCAAACATTGTTTGCAGTAATGCAGCTTTCAGCTGGTAACCCAATGATTGCAAAGTATGAATATCCAGAGTATAATTTGCCAACATAATCTTACCTCTAAAACCCACTGCAGTAGCTGCTTCTCGCCTTCCTCAAATCTATTCTTCCAGCGTGTCACAATGAATCCTTCCATTCGGAGTTGTTTAAGCAGGATAGTTGGATGTATAGAAGGTCCTTTAACCACGACATGATCAATGGGAAAAAAATAAAGTTTAAAGATAAAATATATGCCCCATACTGGTCACACAGAAGTCTTAGTAAACACGAAGTATGAATAACTGGCTCTCTTCTCATATTTAGGAGTCACCCTAATGACTAGGATTTGTACTTTGCTTTTAAACCAGTATCTGTACAGTGGCTCGTTTATAGTCTTCCAAAATTTAATTTGTAGCAAGACTTGCTGTATGTGGCCATCTCCATGTACGCAGAATAAAAGGAAACCTGTAGCTCACATCCCCATCGCCCTAATCACTGGTTATCTGTTCTGAAAGTACATGTAAACTCTTAAGCCCTTATTTGTTCCTTTTTGTTCTGGTAATATACCATAAAGCATTTGATTATATCTGTTCTACAGGCTAAAGAAAAAAAGGCAGCTGTTAATCCAGCCAGAAATGTGACCCGATACATGTGTTTAGTACCCACATCATTCCATTATAAATATATTTCAGAAAAAGAAATTTATATTTTTGCAAAACACGCTTCCTTTGTAATTTTGTCTTGTAAAAATAGTCTTATTTTCTGTACAATCCATAGACAAAAGAATGGGGGGAAAAAAAAAAAAAAAAAAAAAAAAAAAAAAAAAAAAAGCGCAAATCACTGCACTGTCTCCCAAAAACACATGTAAAACATCAAGAGTTGTTTGAGTCGTACCTCAATAGATTCCAGTTATCACAAAAAATTGTACATTAAAATAAAATTCTACTTTTGAAAGGAGTTGTGTGCACCAGTGTTAATTTAGTAGATTAAAATCGTGTTAAGATCGTTGGATAAAATATTTTCGTCGACAAACAGCATTTTAGTGAAAAAAACTGGCTAAAAACGAAATCAAAATTAACACTGGTTATATATCAAAATGGCTAAATCTGTCTGTAGTGCATGTTCAAACCTTAATTCCATAAACATGTTAGATTTTTAAACCAGGAGTATACGAGTTTGCAAATTCTAGAGAAAGGCTTAAATAAATATTAAAATTTAACTAAACCCATTAGATTTTAGTCAACTAAAAGCTCCAGAGACTAATTGACGTCAAATTTCGATTTAGTTTTAGTTAAACACTGGTGTGCATGTATGTTGCTGCAATATTACTTGGTAATAAACTATTGTGCTCAGTTTCAAATATTTCAGAAGAAAAACATTAATCTACCTGAAGGAGGCACTGCGTCATTGTACATAGAGATGGCACCACATACAGCAATTCTTCCAAAATCTCTCATTTGTTGCAAGGCAGCATCTGCAAATTTACCTCCAACCTAAAAGCAGAAGAAAAAAAAAAAATAAATAAAAAATAAATAAATTATATTGTGTTATATATCTTTCCAATACCGCAACAAAATGACTATAGGAAATATACTCTGCAAAAAAAAAAAAAAAAAAAAAACCCACACATGGGAGCTACAAGACTGCCCTACTTCTATTGTGGGCTTGAAAATGTAAAAAAAAAAAAAAAAAAAAAAAAAGATTTGCTTCAGACAACATGTCCGAGTATTCTTTGGTAGAGTCGACTTTATACAGACTTCCATAAGAAAAATGATCTTGATGGATGTTCTGTCTCTCCAATGTAAGCATTGAAAGTGTGATCTCCAACTTACAGTTGTGGTGAGATAGAAATAACTCCAATCTCAGTTGGATATCACAGACAGTGACTCAATCGGATGACACCTTGTAGATCTTGTGAAGTTTATGCCATAAACAGAGACTTACAACAATGAACATCCGATAGGTCAAAAGATCATAATGTGACCCGCTTCATGACATGAGGCTATAAGCTGCAATGCCTTACTGGGAAAAAAAAGGGTGGGCTATCTATACAGCATGAACTAAACCAAAAGGAAAGTGAGGAGCAGAGACAAAATATAAAGAACACTAAAAAGGCATATAACAGTCATGGGAAACATGACAATGGAACTGAGATCCGTTTCTTTCATAATGTTCTTGCTCCTGGAAGCTCCACATTCCTAGTAAAAAAAAAAAAAAAAAAAAAAAAAAAAAAAAAAAAAAAAAAGGACCAGGGGCATGTCATGGGGCCCCCTACTGACCCCGGGCAGTGCCAAAGTGTTCGAATGGTCAGTCCGCCCCTGCTAGACCCATTAAAAACTACAAAATCCAGCATGCCTCGATGAGGGGCTATATAACTTAGGAAGCTCAAGAAACCACAAGGCAGTCTGTGGAGAGAGTCACTGGTGTGTGGAGAGGGGAAGGTCTTGTCAGAAAGAGGAAGATACATTGTCTCATGTAATGTCTTACCCTGCATGTAATTTTTGGAGAATTGAAAAAGCTGCTGCAATCTAACAAGTCCAGTCTGTGCTGCTGTCACTGGATCTCAGGATTAACTGGACGCTTAGTACCGGAGCTACCCGAGATCCAGACCCACCAATTTCTGCTGTGAGGCTGCTGCTAAATCTAGTGAAAACTGTACTGCACTATCCCTCTTAAAGAGCACCACATTATCCACTAGTCCTGCAACTCTGAGCATCTATGATCTAAAAATTATACCTCTGACAATTACCCCTTGCTGAACACTTTGCCACACAAGGAAATCAGTGTACTACAACAGTGCTTGTCGCAGAAATTGTTCTCTCCTCTAGTGCTTAAACTTCAAGAGCTCCAATGTGGCCAGCTGAAGACTTACTTTGCAGGATATCAGGTGCTCTATTACAGTTCTGGAGAGTTGAGTGTTAGTTGCCTTGCAGTTATTGCATTATAGCCTTGGTCCCAGCCTCTTTGGACATGTTGGATGTCTTAAAGCAGTCCAAATGAGGGGTAGGCAAATGCACCGAGTGGTCCTACATACTTACAAGAGTAGGAAAAAAAAAAAAAAAAAAAAAAAAAAAAAGTACCAACATCTGAAAAATAGGGATTTGTGGAGAACAGTGAAACCATTATAGAATTGTCAGTATTGATGGAATTATATCTTGTTAAAAAGGAAAGCAAATACTACCAGAAGGGGAAACTAGAACCTGGACGTAATGGGACTCAACTCAAAATGAAGAAGATGTAACCACTCACCTTGGAAAGACCAATACATCAACCACCAAAACCTGAACAGAAGAATACCTTAGACCATCAGCTTAAGGTGGGTCAAACGCCTAAGCCTAGCATACCCAACCCTGGATACAGGGAAAATAGTGTGGACAGATACAGTATGTCAATACACACACACACACACACACACACACACACACACACACACACACACACACACACACACACACACACACACACACACACACACACACACACACACACACACACACACACACACACACACACACACACACACACACACACACACACACACACACACACACACACACACACACACACACACACACACACACACACACACACACACACACACACACACACACACACACACACACACACACACACACACACACACACACACACACACACACACACACCACTAATTAACAGAAGAAAAGAGCTGGTAACCCTGACCCCTGTAAAAATGATAGAACAAAAAAAAAAACAAACTAACGCCAATAAAGTGAGGCAATAGCCATCTGCCAAAGTAATATATGATATCAATAATTAGGATGCTTAGTTTTATAAATGCAGATTCCACCATAAAGTCATTAAGGATCGAATTCACCTACAAGCACAAGAATATGTACAAACAGAAATTTAGCATCTCTTAAGGAACTAGGTCCCACAAAAGGCCCCTTGACTGCAATATGCCCTGTAAGTGGAAAGTGCAATGGGATCAGAGTGCCCTTTCTGTGGGCCCTCCAGGGGCTTGTTAGAGATGGAAGGTTCCTTATGAAGCCAGCTTTCAGTTGCTGCCGAGAGCCACACTAGGGATCAGTTCCTGCAATTGCCTCCTCATTGCAGCAATCATCCTCTCCTGTCCACTGTGATACACCCCAGCTGCCTGGGCCTCTGTGTGCCCCTGTTCCAGGAGAATAGACAGTTTCCCTCTTTTCCTGCATGGGGGGGGGGGGGGGGGGGGGGGGAATTCAGAGGGCAATTTTTAATACATGCTTCATCCTGTTGCCTGGGCCTCTTGTTTATGAGGATGCATCGGCTGTATGATCACAGCTGCAGGTCCTTGACAATGAGCAGGTGTGGGTAGTGGCCCCAAATGCATACTGTGTATTCAGGGTTATACACTGGCATCCACATGCCTGTCCATGAAAGACCTGCAGCTAGTCATACAGCTGCTGCATCCTGATAGCTTATCATAGCCTGCCTACACAGCTCCAGTTACACAAAAACACCGATTCATACTGTACTGGCCACAGCACCCATGTGAATGAGGCCCATGATACCAAACACTGAACTTAATTAGCTCAAATATTTAATCTTTTGTATTTAGCAGGGTTTTGCAAGTTATGTTGTGTTTGTGTCCACCAATAATTTTTAGCAAAAAATATTTTTGGTATGGGGGGGCCCTGTCTGGTGAGCTGTACAATGTCCTGTGATTTCTAACAGTATCCCTGAACTCAATAATAGAGGTCTACCAGGGTAGGAATCAGAGCTCTCAGATACATGGAACTCAGGCAAGCCTAGAAAAATGCACAAGAAATGCAAATAGGTCTGAAATTTTAGAGTAGTTAGTCAAGGGAAAACCTGGAGCATGAAAATCTGCTAGGGTACCATCAAAAGACCCATCAGGACAATGGACAGCCTCCTACTTAAAGTGGGGTAGAACATTGAGAGGGTTGAACATAACAGGATTTTTGACCTCTAATCTGCCTCAAGTGGGATATTGACCAGGACGGTTTCTAAAGTACAGCTGTAGAAGCAGATTGGGAATGGTTTCTCCGTCCCATCTACAGACCTTCTGCGCTGAGGTAGGTGTACACTCCAACCACCAGAAGTATCAGGAATTAAATTGTCAAGTACAGTACTTAGGAGATGTCCGTTCATAGTGGGTGTCTAAAAATGTATTTTCAGGAAACCCTCAATGTGCCAGGCTCAAAGCCAAAAGAGCCCTATGCAAGTGGGCAAACATTAAGCCCATGTGATACACAAGCTTAAAAATACTGCCAATAAGACCACAACAGCTGCAACACATTGCTTTAGATATTCACTTCGAAAGCCCTAGGGTAGGACTGTTTGACCTAGAAATTGAGCAGTCTCTTTAAAAAGAGACTTCAAGTGATTGCTATATTTAAAAATGCACTAGCAAAAACAGGTTTCTATACTTACCTGATCTGCTTACAAAAAGGAGAGACTGCAAAGACTGGGTCACACTAGTGGTTGGATGTCCCGTGTGGCCAATGCTACTCAGAGGTCTGGAAAGGACCAAAATTCTATGTCCAGAGAGTGAAAGTCAAATTCGGACTAACCTTCCATGTATCAGTTATGTGGGGAGGGGGGGGGGGGGGGGGGGGGGGAACCCCCCACACAACTAGCTGCTGACTTTAAAAAAAAACAGCCACTCACCTGTCCCACGATCCTGCATTGCCCCTGCTGCAGCCTGCTTTACCGGACATCCTGTATTCCAGGCGCCGGCATCTTCAGTGTGGGCATCCGGCTGTGACAGCTTGCAGCTTCATGGCCAGATACCTACTGTGCATGCGTGAGTAGCGCTGCGCTTCCTGAATGCGCCTGTCTTCTGGGACCTGTTACGTGTCCCACAAGGCTTGGGGAGGGAGGGTAGGACGACAACTTTGGGTACCTGTTAAACTCGGCTACCTGTTTCCCCGCTCCCCAAAGCCCCTAATCCTTAATGGGGAGCGGGGACCAGTCTTTAAAGCAGAACTTTCCCTTTCGGGTGGATCTCCGCTTTAATCTCCCAAAGGCAGCATTATAAAACCTACATGCCTGAAGAGTTTCTACTATCCCATGCCCTTTAGTGAACATAAGAAAAAAAATTTGAAACCAATACCATGTTCAATTAAACATGCAAGAAAATGTTGCTGTTCAGCCATAATTCTTAGTATAGAGAACTAGGGGTTTCTTCTAAACCTGTACTAAGGAAGCATTGATGCTGCTAATTCTGACATTTTGACTTGATTGCTAAGGAAAAAAAAAAAAAAAAAAAATCCCCACACTTGAACAGGTTGGCCCATTTTGCAAGTATAGCCATGTAAAACATTAAAATAAGTGACTAGAATGTTTAAAATCCAGTAATACAATTCAGTTGCTCTCCATTTTTAAGTACAGTACTGAATGTGTAGAAGTCAATCTGCTGCCAGCCTAAAGATTTACTGCTGCTCAGGACTCTGGGCTTTTAGAAAAATGGCAGCCTCCAGCAAGAAGAAAACAATGCTGAAGGCAATTTATAGCACACTCATTTTGGTAGCATAGTTATTAATGTGGAACACAAGTTTCTTGCTAAATAACTCTCACTTATGGGTAAAGTTCTACTTCTGTTGGTCATTTAGACACACACGGCATTCTGTGTCTCAAACAATGTAGCTGTGCCATCTGCTGGTCATCTAAACAAAATAGGCTACCCTGCAAAAATGTCCAGGGCCGCACGTTACTGTATAGACATGTAAATACATTACTGAGGCTACGGAATGTAGCCCTTTAGTAACCCATAGCAGGTCATTTATAAAAATGTTTTTGCCGATTTATTGGCTATTGCACTCGAAGTTTTTCAGTTAAAAACAAAAGCAAATGTGGTTTTTAATACATACAAAATGCAGGTAAACTTACATTCTCAAAGTAACAGGTGTATCCCTCTGGAGATGTTGCCCTCAGTGCTTCTTCCAGAGAGTTCACAGTCTTATAGTTGAAAGCTTCATCAAAACCGATTTCTTTTAAATACACAACTTTTTCATCTGAGCCAGCAGATCCGACTACTTTACAGCCCTGGTTAAACAAAAAAAAAAAAAAAAAAAAAAAAAAACCACACATTTTAGGCTTATGTATTATTCATTACAGGTCACTGAACTCTGCACTGTGTTCTCAACTTGAAGCTGTGTACTTTTACATAGTTACTTTAACACAACTGCTGATGTGAGAGCTCTAAAGTGTCACAGCTATGAATGTCAGAGTGCAGCGAGAATGCTGCAGTGCCAATGTGTTGGAAATGCAGCAAGCTTCCCCCCCGCCCCACGAACTTTAATGAAATGTCACAGGACCATTTCATGTAGTGCCATCAGCTGCAGAGGATTAGGTTTCATTTTTTTTTTTGGCGCACCTCACCTGCATCAGTGTTGTGAGCTGAGTCAATTGTAAAAAAAAAAAAAAAAAAAAAAAAAAAAAAAAAAAAAAAAAAAAAAAAAAAAAAAGGGGAAAAAATTTGCCTTGTATTTTGTAGGGACTGTACTTTCCAAGTACAGTCCCATGGTAGCTGGTGTCCCCCAGCTCTAAACATTATGTAATGTTTGCAATATTTAGGCACAGAGGACACAGCCTCCCTGCTCAGTGTCACTCATTTGCATCCTGGCATGTGTCATGAGCACAGTGCTATGTAAATCACTATAGTTCTGATCTTTTGCTGAATGACTTTGAATATGAGACTAGTTCCAGGACCTGCTTTCTCCAAACCCTCTGCAGCCTTGCCCTCACACAGTGATGGATTAATAGGACACTTCATAGCATAGAATTCTGTGACAAGGGGCTACAATACAGGCAGAACCACACTAAACCATCAATAAGTACCCTTTGTAGGATTCTACGATTAGAAAAATGAAGTGGACTTTGTTGGTTTAGAATTTGGACAAATGGACCTAGAGCATATTCACACATTTATGCCAATTGTATCAGCTTGGAGGAGTTGCTCTCTAAAAGAAATCTGTAAAGATTTCACTACTGACCTTCAGAAAATACTAGTTGCCTGGCTTCCACAGTATTCCTCTGGTCTCTGAACAACTGACCTGCACTAAGTTTGCAGATTAGAGTTCTGACTTGATGCAAACTTGTTCTGGGCTAGGGTCTCAAAGAATGGAAGCCATGTGACCTGCATGACAGCCAGGCAAGTTTGCATGTTCAAAGGAAGGAATTTAGGCCTCGTTCACATCATACATGCAGAAAAACTGACCCATGGTGCAGAGACAGCAGTTTTCAGGTGCGCGTCAAAGTTATATACAGGTTGCAGATTCCTGTGCAGAAAAATAAAAGTATACACAAGGGAATCAAAATTTGGGTTCCCCCCACCACTTACCTTGATCTTTGCAATCTGTCCCACTACAGAACCTACAGCACCAGCAGCACAGTTAACAAGAACCACGTCTCCTTCCTTGAGACTGCAGATTTCCAGCAAGCCGAAGTATGCTGCCAGACTGTTTAAATGAAAGCACACATTTCAAAGTGGTGGTGGTTTTTGTTGAATCACAAAATGCCTTAATTTACCATTAACCATAGCATTCAATTAGAATTCAACTTAACAGTGTTAGTACATCAAAACACTAATGTCACACAAAAAGCATGTTGGTTATGTCTGCATTTTACTGAGATAAGCAAAAGTTTGTTAAAAAAAAAAAAAAAAAAAAAACCCCCCCCACCACCAAGTGCCCACACAGGACCCGAGATTGGTTTGATCTGGCTCATTTATGTAGCACCCTTGTCTTAAACAGGGGCTACCAGTAAATTTAACTTTGGTTGTAGTTAACCTAGCTGATTTGTAGTCTGATCATTTGGGTTTTCTCCTAAGCTCAGTATAGCTGTAGTTCCTCCCTTCTCCCAGTAGGTGTCACTGGTACCTTTGGCATTACTATGATGAAATACAGTGAAACGGAGTTATGAATAGCATGCTGGGAGAGAGAATATTTAGAAAGGTCAGATGATCATGGTCTTCCCACCCAGATCTTGGCCTGGTGTGTAAGTGAGGAACTGCTGTGCAGGGTAGGCCTGAAGCCTAGCCATGTACTCGAGGCTCTACCAGAGGGGGCCTGTTTGTTGCCTGGAGGCATGAAGGAAGGAATGGAGACCCAAGATGAAGTACCAGAGGTTACACTGCCATAGACCGGTGAACTGGAGAGCCTGGTAAACTCAGGATTGTCTCATCCAGAGAATGCCTGCATTTTCGTGTGAGTTTTTTGCAGTTGCTATAGTAGACTGTTGCTAGAGAAATAATTGCTAGGTACAGCTTAAAAAGGCTGTCTGTACTGCAGTCTACTTTGTCTAAGGAATCTGCTGCTTTGCACTACGGTGTCCTTTGCCCTATAGATGCTTGATTTAACTTCAGCAAGTCTTCACCATATCTAGATGCCTAAATGCATTGACTTGCTGTCATGTGATTGGCAATTAGTGCTACCAAGCAATTGAACAGGTGTACCTAATAAAGAGGCCAGTGAGTGTACATTAGAGGTAGTCTGTAGACCTGCCCAGTTTGATGGATCAGGAGGTAACTGATAGCTAGCCTTGGGGACAGGATTCAGGGGAACCCCCCCCCCCACACACCACAAACTTTCCCCAAGCAAAGTTAGAATTTTACCTACTCCTGTGCCTTTAATAAAGAATCTTATATGGATGTTGGAGGAGTTGTCGACCAAGTTTTTATGTTTCAATATGGTTTTCCACCTGTGGCAGGACTAGAATCGTGTGACTCACCTTCCCTCCTTTGTCCTAAACATTTCAGCAGAAAAGAAGCTAGCCAGAAAGACACCATGACACAGTAGGCTGGGCATGGACATCCCACTATATTAACACCGCTGGCCATTTCTTTCCCATCCATTTGATCAACATCACATCCTTCTCAACCCTAGGTTTATGCTGAAACAGATTAGACTAAAAGTCAAAGCAACAGAAAACCTTTTTACCTTTCAATATGGATTATTCTTTATTTTGGACAATACTCCAAAGCCATAAGTAACCAATATATTCGGTAGTCAGACCATGTGGTTGGTGCATCCATGTGGAAGATTTAGATAAATAAAAAAAGTACTTTGGTGATGTCTGTACAACTCACCCAGGCATGCCTATGGCTCCAAGTGCTAGTGATTTCGGCAGAGATTCAGGCCAGGAGAGTAATGCACGTAGCCCTTGGCCATCAGATATAAAGTGCGTTGTCCAGCCAGCAAATACAACATGGTATCCTCCCACTGGGAACTCAGGATGTTTACTCTCCGTTACCCTACAGAACACAAAGCAAAGTTGAGAATTGTACAATGCATAATACTAAAAAAGGAGGCAAAGCAAAACCAAATATTAGTCCAAGCTTAAGAAAGTTTAATATCCAAAACAGTAGTGGCTGTGGGGAGAAATATATATATATATATTTTTTTTTTTTTTTCCCCCCTTCATTGCCCCCTCACCATACCACCACATGATTCATGGAAGAGCATGTGACTCACTTATCTCCTGTAACATGCACTGGTGCTTTTAAAAAAAAAAAAAACAAAAAAAAAAAAAACAAAAACACATTAACACCCAAGGCAGACATGGGTAAAGGCGAATTCCAGGCATGGTACATTTTTACAGTTACATTGATCCAGTATGTACCAATGCAACTATGTATATACCATACTTGGTTAATGCCCCTGGAAGCTGGAAATCACAGAAGTAAACATTGCTACTAGACTTGCTTTAGGGTCTTGTGCCAGAGTGGTTGGCCTGCTGCATTGTGAACACAAGGGGCCGAGATGTTAACACCCTGGAGAGGAAGTTGACGGGAACCAGTTCCTCTATGGTTTCATGGGTCAACGCAGCAGCGCTCCAGTTTGCTATGCTGCGGCCATGTGAACCTTGGAAGCAATCTTTGGTCAGTTCCTGCCCCTGGGTTTTGGCATGCATTTTGCAAGTGGCTAGTGTAGAGACCCCAATTGTTAGGGAAATTAGCAGTAGGGAAAGGTTCCTACTAAGCAGGGACTCTCCTCAGCCACAGCTTTGACTGCAAGTTATTTCCCTAAGCAGCGCTTTCTTGCTGGGGTGTTTGTAACATTAACATTGTGATCAATACAGGTTTCACTGCAACGGGTCTGTGTTCACTGCTGCCACGCTTCCCCACACACAATTTGCTATAGTTAGCCTGTTTTTATTCAAAGACAAGACAACTCCCCATTCCAGGTCACACAACTTACAGTGCCTGCACTGCCATCTGCTCTGTTTGCATTACAAATGTGGAGTGCTAATGTAATAACATTCAGGCTCCATCATGGAGTTTGTGTGCCTGTGAATGCTCTGCTTGTGACTGGCATATTTATTAAATTATTCAGCTAGCTCCAACCTGCACCAAACATGACTGAGCAGATCCAGGATTGTGGGATATGTAGTTTGCTCACAGTTCTTACTACAGACAAAAAGGTCATGCATTAACTTATGCAGTACCAGGCCGCATGTCTCATGTTTGTACAGAAATCACTCACAAAAGGAAATGTGAAGATGTACGTGACACCATGAAACTATGATAAATGCATATGAAACTCAATGTGCAGGTAGAAAGATGTATAAATAACAGATTTATAAAGTAAAAAAAAAAAAAAAAAAAAAAAAAATTTGAGGAGACCACCATGCAAGTCCCACTGGCAAGTTTGTGTATAGCTAGTTGACGGTCCCTGCCCTTAGGCCAAGCTGCTCTGATATGTTCCCCCCCTAGGGCTTAATGAGTCAATGACCTCTGCATAAGCCCTAGGAGGGGCAAAACATGTCACAGGGGTGTGGCCTAAGGGCAGGGGCTGTGACAACAGCCAGCTATTACACAACAAACTTACTAGAGGGACTTGTGTGGAACAAGGCTTTATTCTTCAAATTTTGCTATGTGCGGATCTAAACAAGCGCTTTTGGCATGTTTTAATGAAGTCACATATCTGATGCAGTGTGCTTGTACTGCATTTTACAATGTCAGCAGAGGGCATAGGAGTTTACCTATACAATCAACTTTGTATCTGGAAACCAAAGCAATAATTAAAATCGAATCAGGACTTTTTTTATGCAGAAATCGGAATATTCAGCTGCCATATACTTGTGCAGGCTAACCAAATAAATACATTTGTTTAATTTAGCTTTGTTTATTTTGTCACCTTAGCTAGAGTGTCAGGGAGTCTAAAGCCACTTTAGATAGAGATGTGTACAACAGAAACATTGGTTCAAGTTAATCATTTCGTTTCATCATATTCATTATGTCAGGATTAGTTTTCAGAATTATACAGGATTTTTATAGCAGCAACAGTTTGTGCAGTGTTTTACAATATAAAAAGGGAGACAGTACAATTACAAAACATAAGGAATAGGAGGGTGCTGCTTGTGGAGCTTACACTCTAAAAGGCAATGTTCTGATGGAGGTGGCTTAAGTACAGTTCTTCAGTGGAGTTGGGGTAGGCTTCCCTGAATAAGCGAGAGTTTTCAAAGATCGCCTAAAGGCAGACAGGGTGGGGGCTCACTGGACATACTGCAGTAGGGAGTTCCAGTGATGGGAGAGACTCGAGAAGTCCTGGAGAAGAGTGTGGAAGGAGGCGACCAGGGAGCTAGAGAGCAAGATGTATTGGGAGGAGCAGAGCAGGTCATTAGGACGATATCTGCGGATGAGGTTTGCGATGTAGCGAGCAGCAGTGTTGGGGACAGCTTTGTATGCAGTGGTTAGCATTTTGAATTTTATATGTTGGGTTAGTGGAAGCCAATGAAGGGATTGGCAGCAGTCACGATTGGTTGGTAAGGTGTACGAGTCTAGCAACAGCATTCATGATAGACTGAAGGGGGTTAACCTGTGTAACTAGACAAGTGAGGAGGGAGTTGCAGTAATCAAGGCAGGATAAAACCAAGACATGGTTAAGTTTTGTGGTGTCATTGGTCAGAGGGGTGGATTTTGGACATTTTTGGGAGATTGAGGCGGTAGGATTTAGCCAATGATTGGATGTGGGGGCCAAAGGAGGATCAGAGTCTAGGATTACACCTAGCACTCTGGCATGAGGGGAAGGACCAATGGTTGTGCTGTTGATCTTAATGGTAAAGTCATGAGTGGGGGAATCGGAAGAGAAGGAGCTACAAGCTTTGTTTTGGAAAGATTGAGTTCAAGGTAGTGGTGGGACATCCATGCCGATAGGTCGCTTAGTAGACTTGTAATACGTGAGGAGATTGAGGGGGTGAGCTGGGGGGGCGCGGAGAGATAGAGCTGGATGTCATCAGCATAGAGGTGGTATTGGAAGCCATAGGAAGTTATCAATTAGCCCAGGGAAGGAGGTGTAGATAGAGAAAAGGAGGGGCCCAAGGACAGAGCCTTAGGGTACCCCAACAGAAAGAGGGAGAGGCGTTGAGAAAAAAAAAAAAAAAAAAAAAAAAAAAGTGTAAGAACCAGGGGAGAGAGAGTCATGAAGGCCAATGGAGTGGAGTTTACTCCTTTTCGGATTTGTTTTGTATATTCCTTAAATTCAAATTTATTTAAAATTTGGAAGAAACCATTTTCGCTCTCAGTTCTATTCTATAAAGCAGCCCAAGTAGGAATAGTCAAACTATTTCACTTTTTACTATACTGTATTTATTGCAATAGGTTTCCATTTTGAATTAAGTTTCAAAATTTGAATTGGATAATTAGTTTGGTTCTAATTCATTTCAGATTAGTTGAAATTTGTTACCATTGGAATTTGGAAGTTCAGATGCATTCAATTCTGAATGAAAATATCATCCAAATATTGACTTGTAATGAGACACACACGCCCACTTGAAGGCTGCTGGGTTCACCTCATTTTAACCAAGGCTGTCCAAGCCAACAGCCACCACACATTAGGAGATTGTGATTGACCCAGCACTGTGATTGACCCAGCACTGGAAAAGTGCTTTAAGGGCCTGTACACACCTTGGTGCAGAGTCATCGGTTTTTCTGCAAGGACCCAATCAAATTTTCCATCTTATGTGCCCAGTTCACACCATAACACTAGTATGTGCAGATTTTTTCTCTGCGCAGGAATCTGCAACATGTATAAAACTCATTGAAGCATGCATGAAAACTGATCTCTGCAAGTGAAATCTGCATGTTGGTTTCAATCAGTTTTTCTGCATGTATGGTGTGAACAAAGCCCAATACATATTCACTGGTCAGTAGTTTGTGAGAATCCATGCAAGGAAAGCAGGCCCCAACCTCAAAACCCCAATATGTAACACTTTAAAAGATAAAATATCAGTTTCTTATGTGGAGATGTGAACATGATTTACCTGGCAACTTGGCTTCCTAACATAACGTCCCCTTCCTTCATTGTCTGTCTACTGTATGGTCTGTGAGATGCAAAACAAGACAGACAAAATCAAAACAATTTAAATAAAGAAAATCCACTAAGAGTACCCATAAATTTGCAAAGGATTCTCTTTTTTTTTCATACATGAAGAAAAAAAAAAAATCTTTATTCACAAAATCTGGTTCTCCCAAAGTTCAGGAAATGCATTTTTTTACTTACGGTAGCATGGAAAGACTTTGTTAACGAAGGCAAATCTTTAGCCTTCATGCACATTGGACGTTTTGATAACGCTGGTAACATTAACTGTGTAAGGTCATATTAAAAAAGGGAGTTCAGCTTTCTTGCATTAGCGTTTAGCCACAATTAGCGCTTTTGGTCAAACATCAAAAAAAAAAAAAAAAAAAACCCCACAAACAAAAAACCACGCTGGTTTGCGGTGTTTTACAGCTACATATCTCTAGAAACCCACTAGTTCTGGGTTTATTTCCTAGCAAAAAGGAAAACAAAACAAAACAAAAAAAAAAAAAAAAAAAAAAACCACCATTGATAACAGTCTATGTGCATGGGCACATCAGATAACATGCTGGGGGGGGGGGGTTTACTAGCTGTAGGGAAAAAAAAAATAAATAAAATTTAAAGTCAAAAGCCAAAGTAAAAACAGCAAGTGTGCATGAGGACTTACTCTCCATGCAGTGTCATGAAAGGAGTAAGATTTTTTGTAGGTACCTACAAGCACTTACCTAATCAGCATCATGAAAGCGGGGGGGGGGGGGACCCACACAAACACCCCAACCCTGGGTTGCTTCTTAATGCAGAACAGCAACCAGTTTTGTTAAGTCATACTGTGACCTTCCCATCCTGCTCCCCTGGACTTTCAATTGTCCACATATTTGATGGGTGACTAAAAAGGGCCAATAGAGAGGCAAGGGAGCAGAAAGCCACATTAAGTGCGATAGTCCCTGATGATTAGTAGGG